ATTTACCCCACATAATAATCAATATTTATCTTTCAGTCCTTTTTTTGTTATTTTCCAAGAAGATATTTACTGAAAATCAACTTACATTAAAAGTACAAATTGGATTATATCTGGAAAAGAGATAACAAGAACTGATTCATAAATATAGGCTTGAGAAAAAAGACCAACATTCAAATAACTATATAGCTTTACTATATCAATATCTTTTATTGAGTACATAATTTTAAAACACTCCTCTATGCACATTATCTCATAATGCTCACAACCACACTGTGAAGTAGAGAAGGCAGATCTTAACATATTTATTTTCAAATGAGTACACCAAAGTTCAAGTGATAATATTCTGTCCAGGATAAATTAGCAGTAAATATAATAATGCTCTTTTAGAAGAAATTCTTTGACCCGAATCCAGCCAAATTACAATAAACTATATAATCAAATTTAGTTGGCTAAAATACAAAATTATTGCTAAACAATACGGAAAACCTCTAAAGGAATAAATTAAAAATGGTGGAGGAAAAAATGTCAAATTTAGTTTCCCCCAGTATTTCAATGAATGCTTTCAAGAGTAGTTCATTACTACCATCACAAATCCTCATTTAGTGAATCTAACTTGTTATAAATACAGGGAAAAATAAAAAAGAGAAGGTACTACTAGTAAATCTAGTACTTTTCATACTAGAATGTACAGGCAAACAGAGACTACCGGTGAAGAAAACTAACACCACAAAAAAAGAACTATAACAAATTGAGTTATTCAAAGAGGAGAAAAAAATTCTAAATCTATGTAGTGTCCCAATATTAAAGCTTACATCTATAAGATAAAAGCAGATGACTATGAACTAGAAAACATTCCCAGAAATACAAAGTAACAGCTGAAATAAATAAATCAGTAAAGGGCCAAAAGAAAAACTCAAGGAAATCTCCCATTTAAAGAGAGACAGAAAGAAAAGACATGGAAAATGAAAGAAAACCTTTGAAACAGCAAATCAATACAGAAGCTTCAGAAAATAAATGCATACAAAGAAGATACAAAGAAAGAAGGAATCAAAGAATTATAGATTTCCCAGAGTAGAAGAAAAACCTAAACTTTAATATTCCCAGGGTTCAGCAAACATTGATAGAATTAATATAAAAAGGACTACAGCCTGTAGTCCTAACTACTGGAGAGGCTGAGGCAGGAGATCTTGAGCACAGTTTAAATCCAGCCTGGGCAACATAACAAGACTATCTCTAAACAAAAAAAATTTTAATTTCAAAAATAGGTAACGATTTGTAAAAGGACTATAACTCATCCTCCTTAAGTTTTATAATTCCAAGGAGAAGAGTCATCAACACAAAAAGCTTCTAGGGAACAAAACACAAGTTGCCTACAAAGAAATGATTCCTATTAGCATCAAATCCCTTATCAGTAAAACTGGTTACTAAAAGGCAGTGGAATGAATGCAACCTTCAAAATTCTGAAAGAGAATTATTTTAAACTTGAGTTCTATACCCAGCCAATGTATGTATCAGGTGTGAAAGTGAAAAAGACATTTTCAAACATTATACTGACAAGCACCCACACACATTCCTCCTGAAAAAGTTACTTCAGGAAGTACTCTAGAGAATAAGACAAATCTAAAATGAAAAGATGTAAGATCTAAGAAAGTATAGAATTTGTCCAAGAATCAAATAACATGATGTTAGTTGAACATCATATTCAAAAAGAAGTAACTTCATGCTAGAATTTCAACAGTATAATTAAAAAGCTGGATAACCAGATGATATAATGAAAGCCTGAATTCTTCCACCAACAGAGGGTAAATTTGGTAATTAGAAAATCCAGGAAAATTAGTCACAGTCCAAACTATAAACCAAATTAAAGTATGGCCGCTCTGGAGTATCAAAAGAGTGTAAGAAATCCATTTGTTCTCTAATGGGAACACATGGACAGAGGGAGGGGAATATCACAACAAACACCAGGGCTTGCCAGGGGGTGGGGTCAAGAGGAGGGAGAATATTAGGGCAAATACCTAATGCACGCAGGGCTTAAAAGCTAGGTGACGGGTTGACAGGTGCAGCAAACCACCGTGGCACATGTATACCTATGTAACAAACCTGCACGTTCCACACATGTATCCCAGAACTTAAAGTAAATTAAAATAAATCCATTTGTTCTCTAAGAATTTAATCATACCACTTTGTTTAGCCGTATTTATAAAACATAATATTTTAACTGCTTTTCAGAATCAGCAAATGTAAATATTATAAACCTTGACATATAAAATAAATGTTATGGTTGGCATAAACTGGACAGGGAATGTGAGAAATTCAAGGGAAAGATGAGGAGGAATGTTATTTCTTTTTTAAAACTTATAAAGTGGCAAGTTTAGAGACAATGTCTGAACACTCTAAATTGTCAAACAGCTCTAAGTTTAATCATAAAGCCAACCAAAAAATAAATAAAAGGAAGAAGGTAGAATTGGTATTAGAAGATAAATCCTTTTTTTTTTTTTTAACAATGAGGAGATAGGTTACATAAGGTTAAAGTTTGGTATATTATATATATATATATATATATAATTGGCATAATTATGAGAAGATTAAAAATATGAAAAAAGTTCTAAAATGATTACCTCTGACAAAGGAGGTAGAAAAGATAGGGAGTAGACTTGTATTTTTCATTTTATACCTTTGTGTATTAAATTCTTATGTTTACGTGACTATTCATCGCCAAACAAACACATACACATTATTAAGACCCCTTTCCCTGACTACTACAGGAAAAACGACAGGAAATTCTTATTCGTTTCTTCTCATTTCTATAATCCATGAACTAAACACTTTCTATTATGGTATTTCAAAGATATAATTATTAAACAGACTCAAGAATCATCCTAAATCCTTGATAAACATGTGGAGATAGCAAGTAACTTACACTGTGTTAAAACTGTGAAAAATATATCCACACCCATCACCTCATTTAACCCTCACAACAATCTTGTAAAAACAGATTTTAAGAGACTAGTAAACCTCAAAAAGGTTTAAGTCATTTGCCATCCTCCTCCAAAAAAAGTAGGAATATAAATATGTTTAAAAAGGAAACCAAAAAAGCCTTTATAGAGCACTGAAATCTGAAAATGCTTCCCTAATTTCTAACAAGAGAATGACACTGAAAGAAATGACACTTGACAATAGAAATGGTCAGGCGCATTGGAAAACAGCTGGGCAGTTTGTTAAACACTTCTTATAAAGTTAAGCATACATTTACCATACAACCCAGCAATATCATTCCTGGGTTATTACCCAAGACAAATGAAAACATATTACACAAAGACGTGCACTAAAATGTCCACACTTTTTATGCATGTATTAACCAAAAACTAGAAGCAGCCCAAATGTCAAGTGTTTAACAGATAAACTGTGATATATCCAGACCATGAAACTACTACTCAACCATAAAAAGGAACAAACTAATGACAACATGAATATTTAAAAGTATTATGCCATGTAAAAGAAATCAGGCACAAAACAACTACGTATTCCATGATTCCACTTATACTAAATTCTAGAAAAGCAAAATTATAGTACCAGCAGATAAAGTGGTTGCCAGGGTTAAGGGAAGAGGACTGGGCTGCAAAGGAGAACAAATGAACTTCTTGGGGTAATGAAAATAACCACTATATCATGATCATAGTGTTTGCTACACTACTGTATATATCTAACAAAACTCATCAAATTATAACTTAACATTGCTTAATTATGCAAGTTACAACTCAATAAGGCTCATTTTAAAAATAATGCATAATCACATTTAACTATGACAACAGCTTTTCAGCATAGGTATTTATCACAGATCTTCAAAGAATATTAAAATTTATATTTAGGCCAGGCGCAGTAGCTCACACTTGTAATCCCAGCACTTTGGGAGGCCAAGATGGGAGGATTACAAGGTTAGGAGTTCAAGACCAGCCTGGCCAATATGGTGAAACCCTGTCTCTTCTAAAAAATACAAAAAATAAGCTGGGCATGGTGGTGTACGCCTGCAGTCCCAGCTACTCGGGAGGCTGAGGCAGGAGAATCGCTTGAACCCTGAAGGTGGCGGCTGCAGTGAACTGAGATCACACCACTGCACTTCAGCCTGGGTGAGAGTGAGACTCCGTCTCAAAAAAAAATAAAATTTAAGAGGCAACTTTTAACCAGAAAGTAGATATAAAGGAATGAAAAAGTTCTGAGAACAGAACTGTCCTCATCTACTCAACTTGGCCATGTGAGTAAACGGGTAAACAGTAGTTGCCTAGCAACTAAAGTCTAAATTTCTAATACATTGACCGCATAAACAGGTGATCTCACAGATGATAAACTGTTATATTGAAGAGTTCTTCTTTTAATAAAAAATAATAATGTGCTGAAGTTATTTGTCTAAAGAAGGAGTGAACAAGGTATACTACACCTAGATAATGAAAAATAAAAATATGAAATTAAACATAAACATACACACACACAAAATCCTTGTATTCATTTGGCCTTTTACATCAGGGCTTTACTTACCTAATTTATGGGTAATCCATGAATTTGTGGGTGAACCCTATCCCATTTTCTATTTTAAGCCATTCCCCTGCCACCATCTGAGTTGGCTTCATTCTCTTATGTATATATTTATATGTGATTAAATGCATACAAGATAGTACTTTACATATATTAAATGATTATAAAGATCTCTCCAGATTACAGAACCTGTAAACACCACAGAAAAATATAACACTTTCTGTAACATGCGTACACACAGCATACCAGAAAGTCAAATCTAACTTAACTAGATTACAAATGCCCAAAATCAAGAATTACAAATACCTTAATAACAAGCAAATTCCTAACACATGTTAAATATCATTTCTCTCTTACTAGAATAGCATGTCACAGTTTAACAGTATCAGAAAAAAAGATCAACTTCTAAGACACCACTCACTGCTAGCACTCTTACCAACCGTATTATTTTCAGTTTGTGGAGCACTTACCCCTCTTCTGAACCCAACCTTCTTTCACAATGGTAACATCGCTCATGATGACTCCCCTCTGAGCCCCCAACTTGGAGAAACGGTACTTTGTGATATCAGCTTTAGGGTTTGGATTCTCTGCTGCTGCTGCCCTTCCCACTCTCTAGTGATGACTCAGCCTGGAAGGAAGTATTGAAGAAAGAATTTCTTTTTTTTCCATTCTTGCAACTCACATAGCAATAACAAACAACTAATTCTTTGTAAATGTCTTCAACTGGCCTGACTTCACATAAAAGTCTAGCTCTTCAAACTGGGTGAACTTATTAAATAGTTCTATAGTGAATGCACTTTCCTAGTCTTGTGACCAATTTCAAATGATAGTGAAACTTTTAACCTAAGGGGTTGCAACAAAAGTCTTAAGAAAACCAGCCACACCCACCCAATAATACAGAAAATTTGTTTGGTGATGTGTATTTGAGGTGAAGAATGAGGAAAGAGAATGAAAGTTAAGTGCCCTAAATCCCTGAAATTTCAGAAGCAATTGTGAATACTACTTTTTTTTTGGAGACAGTCTCACTATCGCCGAGGCTGGAGTGCAGTGGCGTGATCTCAGTTCATTGCAACCTTCGCTTCTCGGGTTCAAGCGATTCTTCTGCCTCAGTCTCCCAAGTAGCTGGGACTACAGGTGAACACCACCATGCCAAGGTAATTTTTGTATTCTTAGTAGAGACAAGGTTTTACCACATTGGCTAGGCTGGTCTCAAACTCCTGACCTCATGATCCCCCGCTACAGTCCCCCAAAGTGCTGGGATTACAAGAGTGAGCCAACGCGCCCGGCTGTGAATACTTTAATTGATGTAAAATACAACCTACCAAGAAACCATCATTTATGTATTCTTACTCTGCCTGTTCCAAGAAATATTTTAGGTAGATTATATTAAGTACATAATATGACATCAATTATTTTGTAAAGTAGATAAAGTGAAACAAAGGGAATGTGAAAGTAAAAAAAAAATTGAGTATTCAAGTATTGAGTATTCAAGATGTGCCCAGAACTACTGTAGATGCTTACATCTATTATTCTTACGTGATCTTGATTAATCCTATAAGGATACTATTAACTCCATTTCACAGATAAGGAAACTGAGGCTCACACAGATTAAGCAACTTGCTCGATTTCAACACACCTAGGAAATGATGGAGCCAAGATCTGAACCCAGGATGTCTGACTCCAGGGCCTGCATTCCAAAACTACACTCCCTTAAGATAAAAAGTCATCAAAGCATACCTATTTGGGAAAGATAAGCCACAAATTTGGCATGGAGCTCTTAAGAGAATGCAAATAAGTAAACACAACAGGTTTCAATATTTACAGCATCCACTATTTTTTTTTAGATAAGGTTCCCCACCCCCCATCACCCAGGCTAGAGTACAGTGGCACAACCATAGCTCACTGCAGTCTCCACTGGCACTCAAGTGATCCTCCCACTTCAGCCTCCTGAGTAGCTGGACTACAGGCAGACACCACCATGCCTAGTTAATTTTTTAAAAATTATTTTTTGTAGTAATGGGGTCCCCATATTGTTGACGCTGCACAAACTTTTTTAAAAAGGAAAAAAAATCCTAAGAAATACAACTCTTCCTAGGACAAAAATCAAATCTATCCCATGGGTCTTCTTCAAAACACATTTGTAATAAAGCCCTCAAAAACATCTTCATATACACAGCAATATTTCTTATTGTTGCTCTCAAACTAAAGGAAAATGCCAACATAAAATTGAGTAAATCCATTTGCACAGAAAGGAACCAAAAAATGTGGTCTAGGTACACCAGTGTTATGTGGTCAAAAATCACATGCAAGAATTTGAGATAACTAGAAAAATGGATAGATGGACTGCACAAACATAGTCTCTCAACTTGAGTTGTGATAAATGATACGCTCCCAAGCTAGTGCTAAAATAGATTACAGGTTTTTCTTCAATGCAAATTAAGTGTAGAGCCTAACCATTTAGCAGTCAGGAATCCAGACTAACCATTTTCTAAACAGCCTGACAAAAGCTATGTAGCTGAATATAAGACCACCAACCTCATGAATCATGGGGACACATGCAGAACCCAGAGGTAACACTGAGACTGCTCAAAATCATCATGGGAGTCTGTTGCTGTAGAGAGTCAAAACGGGATATTAGCTTGTAATCCCAGCACTTTGGGAGGCCAGGGCAGGAGGATCACTTATGTCCAGGAGTTCAAGGCAAGCCTGGGCAACAAAGTGAGACCATGACCACACACAAAAAAAAAAAAAGAAAGAAAGAAAAATTAGCCGGGCACCATGTCGTGCACCTGCAGTCCCAGCTGCTCAGGAGGCTGAGGTGGGAGAAATCACTTGAGCCCAGAAGTTTGAAGCTGCGGTGCAATAACTGTACTACTATACTGCAGCATGGGTAACAGAGTGAGACCCTCTCTCTTTAAAAAAAAAAAAAAAAAAAAAAACGGGGGGGGAAGGGGGGAAGGTATTAGAATCTGGATGTATTTTCCCAAAATACGTTTGATAGAATACTAAATTAGAGAAATTCTAGAAAAATAATGAAAATAAAGATGAAAAAGAGAAATTCTGTGGGCCAGTAAGTGGGAAATTCCATAAACATGTCCTTCTCTTGAAATATCACTATTGGCATATTAAAGGTTCTAAAATAAAGAAATATGTATAACTTCATCTCGGCAAAGCCTAAATTTATTACCGTCATAGAAAATGGTCACATAATGACAAGACTCATTTCACCACACATATTTAAAAAAAAAAAAAAAAAACCTTCAGTAAAGAATCTAAACATTTTAATTGGATTTAACATTCTAAAGAATCCAACATGGTCAACTGGCTACATAATATAGGGCTAGATAACTGAAAGGGTTAACTACTTATACTGCATAAAGAATTCTAAGTTCAAAACTGGCAAGTCACTGGTGCGTGATATCTCTAGAAGAGCTGCACTGTGGCACTTCTCTTTGGTAATACTTGTAGCAAGGGGCTCAACATCTATTAAGGCCATTCTTGGTTTCTTACTATGAAACTCTATAATATGAGTAAAAGACAATTCAGATCTTACTATTCTTGGAGTGGAAACAGAAAAGAGATTAGGGTAATAATTAGTAATAAAAAATAATATATCCAATTAACAAATACTTTCTACTAAAATGGCTTGTATTACAATATATTTTAAAGAACACTAGAAAACATTTTCAAAATTGATTCTATTTTTTGAAGTGAATATTTTATTACCAGAATGTTAAAGCCGGAGGGACCCCCATTTTACAGCTGAAGAAACAGAGACCAAGACAGATCAAGTAACTTGCCCAAGATCAAAAAGTCACCAAATGGCCAATCAGGAGCAGACAACCAGGCATATGTTCTTTCCATTCATTACCTCTTCAGTACCAAAGAAAACACTGAAATATCCAGACCCACCCAAAAATCAATCAATTTTGTTTTCCAATGAAACTGTTTCTAAAAACTAGTTTAGATAAATTTTATCATTGCTCATATGTTTAAGATTAAACTGTTAAATTCCATTACCCTACCCATGCAGGGAAAAAAAAAAAAAGGAAAAAAAATAAAGATTAAACTATTAAAATGTATGTTAAATCAACAGGACAGAATTTACAATCTTCATCAGAGGCAGTGAACCCAAGCATATATTATAGAGATGGCTTTATCCATTTTCACTTAAAATATTATCAAATATTATCTATAATCATAATTTTCAGCTTTAAAAACTGCTCCTGGGTCTCTACTGGCTAAAATGATACATTCTTTGAACATAATTTAAAAGCTGTCGTAAGTAGACTACTCTGGAATTATGATAAGTTAGAAATAAATGCTGTTTTTTGGGTATAAAAACAATTTTATTGACTAGTAAGCAGCAAACCATGTGCTTTAACTTTCCTACAGCAGGAGCACTCCTGTACCACAGCATCTTCACTCTCCCTTTCAGTCTTCCAGGTTAACTAAAAACACTAATCCGCAAGATGAGCTGGCACTTTGTCATCCATTTCCTAGGGTAGACAAAAGTTCACCTCCTTCTATATATAGCCCTAACTTTTCTACAAATGCGTTCCATCCAATGAACTATAACAGACAAAATTTGGTTTATTTTTCTTTTAAGCTTACTGCATTAAACATCTCATTGCTAATTTCATTTTTCCCACTCTATATATTATAAAGTTTCACACAAAATTCTTGACAGATTCAATTTAGATTTTTACACAAAGCAGTTAACGCTAAAGGTATCTTCATTCAGAACCGAGTACTTGAGAATTTGATGATAATAATAATGGCACTGGAATGTCATTTTATAATTTACAAAACACTTTGCATATTTCACTTCATTCAATCACATTATAATTTAGTAAAGCAATTTGACAGTGCCTAGCACTTAAGCAATGCTGACAAATATGGAATAAAATCAATGAGTGGATGAATGAAGGAATGAAGATGCAGCTTTAGACAGCTAACAAAAAACAGGCTAAGCAAACAAATATAAATCAACAGAGAATGGCATTAAGCCATCCTAAAAATAAAACTGAATTTAAACATTAAAGAAGACTTTATAATTTAAATTATAATAAATATTCTGCCCTATTCCTTAAGGTATGTTTCCTATAGACCTCCATTAATGGCAAGGACTAGAACACAATAAACTTACCCTTTTTTTCCTTGAGTTTTTCCCCATTTTTGTTGAGATCGAGTTTCAACTCCAAACAAAACCATCAATATTATCAATATATTATCAATAAAGCATTATTCTAACCAAAATAATCAATTATGGAAACGAAAATGGGAAAGAATGGCATATTTTCTTAATGACACTTTTAAGAATTTGTAAAAGATATGTGTTTACTTACAGCAACCAGTCATTCAATTTTAAGCAAAAATTAAACTTCTTCAAACATCTTTTGAAAATATTAACTCAAAAACATGTAACACATACATACTTATTCAGTCAATAAACATGTACTGATTGTCTACTCTGTGACAAGGACTATACTAAGTTACAGGGAGGTAAGTAAAACTACGTGGTTTCCTTATAAAAATATTTTCTAAACTTGTAACTTATCAAAGAGCTTTCACATATATCAATTCATTTGTAAAAAACAAATTTGTGCAGTAGTTACTACAGCCACA